CACACACACACACACACACACACACACCACACACACACACACACACACACACACACACACACACACACACACACACACACAAAGGTGTAAAGTCCGTCCATGCAACCTCCACGCGGTGCACTCTGAATAATTCTAATGCATGCGCGCGCGCGCGTGTGTGTGTATGGTACGCGTGCAGGATGTCTGAAAAATTTTGACACAGCCAAAGTGTGAAGGTAGATTAAAGTAATCTAAACCAAAAAGTCATACCAAATTCACAATAAGTTTTGAGCGATTAATTAATACATATGATCCAATGAGTGCATGAGAAGTGATGGTCCGGACTCTGTAGGAGTGTATAATTTAGTTGTGAAAATCAGCTGATTGCAAGAAGTTGTGTCACTTGCCACTTACTTGTTTGCTTCGTCTCTTGCTCTCTTTATCTCTTCGGAGATTTCATGAAGTAAGTCTATTGTGAATTTATAATACTTATTTATAATACTATTTATAATACTGAATTTATAATACCTATTGTGAATTTTGCAAAATAGTACAAAACTTTTCTCTTCAGACTGATCTATCTTTATATTTTGGCTATGTCAAAATTTTTTAGATACCTATATACCCTGTATATTGGTAACAAAAGATAACACTGGCTTGTAGTTGAAGTGCTTACAACTACAATGTTTTTCACATGCGGTGGATTTAACATGCTGGAGAAGAGAGAGAGAGATGCAAATTATTATATTAAGTAATTATTGTGTTTTTTTCTGAGAGAAAATGCTTTGCTCTGATTAGGATTGTTTTTTGTGTGTAACATATTAATACAGTCTGTGTGAAAGAGCCATTGCATTTAATGTTTTATGTTTACTGGATTGTTTGGTATTGCAGAATTGGAAGAATTGAAGTGCTTCTTTATTTAAAGATTTGTATATTTGACCAATATTAGTTTTTGTTTTATAGACAAGTGGCAACCCTCCTCTTAAGTAAAGATGCAGATCCTAATGTCATAATTCCGACATATGGAGTTACTCCATTTCATTTAGTTATTGGCAATGATTCTGAAGAATTTGCAGAAGAAGTTACTAAGTTGTTTTTACGTCATGGTGGCAATCCTAATGTGAGGTACACAAATATTTATAAACTGAATACTTTTGCATTTGTGCATATATAAATATATATATATAAATGTAATATATTTATAATACAATCTTAGATCAAATGATGGAATGACTCCAGTTCATGTGGCAGCTGCCTGGGGCAGACTAAATATATTACAATTACTTTTAGCGAATGGTGGTGATCCACTTTGTTTGGACAATGATGGACACAGTCCATTTCATTTTGCCTTTGATGGTAAATATTTCAAGGCTCTAACATTGCTTTCAGATTATTGTTTAACCTTTCAAAATGAAGATAATAAACCGAAGTTCAATATAGCACTTGGTAAGGTTATCCTTTTTTTAGCATTTGATCAGAGAATTTATTTGACACGCTTATTATTCCAAGCTTTAATTCTTAATGTTACAGATAAGGTCTTAGTAACAAATGGAAATGTAATTGCTGAATACATTGCATTAAAGGAAAAGATAGTAAATTTAGATGAAAATAATACAACAGAGAAGAGTACGCTTATTGATTTCTATAATTGCAAGCCAAACTCTTCGTCAATGATAGATACAAGCTGTGTGACAGATTTATGTAATAATACTATTGAAACTAAATCTATATTGTCTGACAATCTAAATAAATATTCTTTTAAACATAGTCAAACCGTTCAACTTCAAGATCATTCAGAAAAAGACACAAGAGAAGTATCAAATTACTCATTTATTGGACTTGATTTTGATTTTGCAAATCTACATCTTTCCGATGCTGTAGAAAGAGAAAAATGTCTTGTCAGTCAAATTATTAATCAACTTTCATTCTCAGTAAATAACTGTAATATTAATGAGACTTTGAATATTTATAAAAAAAACAATCAACGAGAAAGGAGCATTACAAGTAATTCTAGTGCATCATGCCAATTAAAAGAGAATGAAGATATACCTCATAAACATAAATACGACAAAACTTTAAAGAGTACTTTACACAAACCAAAGAAGAAATGTGTCAAAGATATCTCGAAATCTGCCACTCCTACAAAAACACGATCCTCTAAACAAAGCACTTCCAAAAAAAAACACAAAAAAGTTGTGACTAAGACGCCTTTAACACCTATTCATATTTTTGACAATTCCATTATTAGTATGTCACCAAATTTTAAAACACCTAATCAAGGAATGAAAAAAAATATTGTAAATACATCGCCACTTATCAATGATGATATTATCAGTATGTCACCTAGTTTCACAACATCTGAACATACAAATAAAAGACTGAATTTAAAAAAAAGATTAAGCATTGACTCTTCTTTTCAAGAAATGCTTGAAAACACTAAGAAATATAAAAATCAAACGCAACAGTCTGAATATAATTGGCATAGGAAACGCATTGCTCAATCCACACCAAGAAGAAAAAGACGATCAATATACAAGTATTCTAGAAGGCAAATATTTTATCCTTACCCATATGAAAGTGATGTTACTACTGATGAATTTAGTGGCAATACTAAATTCAAGTCGGTTGATCTAAATAAAACAATATTCTCAGAAGTAGATATGCTACATACAAGTAATGAATGTTTGTCAATAAATTGTAACAAACTTTCAAAATCGGGACAGGAAAATTACGATAATTTTACAATAAATTTCGATAATGAAAAATATGATCAGGATATAGACAATGACCCGAATCTTGTAAATCTAAATAACAGTTTTAATCAAATAGAAAAAAAGAAATCTGTTAACTACTTTAGTGGTAATAAATATATGAAATTCAAAAACACTCAAATAAATGATAAATTTGTAACAATTAGAAAAAACATATTTAAACCAGATAAGGAACCAAAAGCAATAGATATTTCACTTAAGAAATCTGCAAATATGATAAAATCTATTGATTTATCACATAAAGAAGAATTCGTAGACTGTGTTGACTGTGATACTAAGAAATTATTAAATGAAGATTTAAATGTAAACATAAGTAAGATTTGCAATGTACATGCAAAAAATTGGTGTAGTAATAAACTTCATGAAGCTTCGTTGCATAAATTAGATACACAAGCTTGTTCGTTGTCGCAGTCTCAGTTACTTCTTTCAAAACTGAACAAGCACACCATTGATTTCAGTAAGACAGAAGATACATTTAAAGTAAAAGACTCAAACGTATATCAATCGGAAAAGAACTCGTGAGTATAAATTTGTATTCTTTATTAATAAAATTTAACTGTTTTATAAGAAAAAATTCTATAAAATGTTTTATTTAAATATTTTTAATCACACAGGTCTCTACTTTCATTTGTTAGTACTCAAGAAGAATATAAATATGAAGATCTAGAAGAAGATGTGGTTCTATTAGAACGGCGACTTTGTGTCACACCATATAGGTGAGTTACAATGTTTAATCTTTTGTATAAAAGTTATTTACTTTACTTTTAATAAATGAAAGATAAAACTTATTGAAATGATCTTTATCATTCTTTAGTTACTTATTTACCTTCTTTACTAATTGTTCCTCTTATTTTAGTGGAAGTGAATGTGACATCAAAAGTAAAATGACTGTATCAGGTAAAGTGAAACAAAAATATACATGTTATTATACATGTTATTATGTATATGTTTATTATTTAATATAAAATGTTTATTATTCAATATATATTATTGACTGTAAGTATTTAAAAAATTATTTCTTTTATTATGTCTAGATGCTTCGAGTATATCTGCTTCTCAAAATTTACCATTATACATCGACGATGTGACTCTTAGAACAGAGCTTAGACAGTTTGGCGATCTTCCTGGTCCGATTACTAGTACAACTAGACAGATTTATTTAAAGCGTCTTATGCGCTTAAAAGCTGTCAGAGATACCAATACTTCGTTGATGCCACACCTACAAAACAATCAAAAAAATCATATAGAACTAAGTAAACGAATCAAATCTCATCTAGAATTTGGGAATTGGTTAAATCATTTGGATACTTATAGAAGTCTAGAAAAGCATGTATTCCAAGAATTTGCATCACCGGATCCGTCGCGGAGATGGCGCGAAGGCACATCGAAGATGTCTTTTACGTATCTGCTGTTAGATCCGCGCATAACGCAAGATCTACCGAATCGTAACGCTCGTCTGATTGAATCTGAAGTGTGGTCTATTTTTCTTAATTCTATATTTTACATCGGAAAAGGCAAACGCTCTAGACCCTTTGATCATCTCTACGACGCTTACAAAATATGGTCGGGCAAATCAACCATTAGAAATAAAAAAGTCGATAACATTCTCGATATATGGAGCAGCAATCACGGTGTAATTTGTTTACATGTTTTTCAAAATATTATCCCAGTAGAAGCTTATACGAGAGAAGCCGCCATGATAGATGCAATAGGAAGAGAACACTTAGGAAACTGTAAAAATGGTGAATACTATGGCGTCGCGGCAACATGGAGCATGCAACAAAAACAAAAATTCGGTAGATATTTATTGTACAAAGCTTTACAAATTTTTTTGCAAGAAGGTGAAAGCCAACTTTTTCCTTACAATCTTTATGTATAATAGAACGCAAATATAATAATTTGCTTATGCTATTGCGCTAAATTTTACATATATATATGAATGTAGATATAAAAATAATATAAAAAATTTGTACATATATGCTAACTATGAATAGTAAATTGTGAAACTCATCATAGCTTTTTTACTAGATAAAATTTCAAATTATAGAATAATTGTGTACTTTTTGATGAAGAGTTGAAATATTTACATACATATAAGAGAAAATGAATATAAAGTATTTTTGAACATAATATTAGGATATTATCTTCTGTATTGAATAGTAAAACATTCATTAATATTGTAAACATGTATAAAATATGACTGATTAAGATAAGTATTCACTTTTATAAAAGAAGAAAGAAAGAAGAAATCAATATTTACCTCTAGTTATTTATTTTATACAGTTTGTGTGATATTTATACCAAATTAAATATTCGTGACATGCTTTATGCCTCCAAGTGTAACATTTTTATATTTATTAAACCTTGTGTCAATAATCGGATTTCTTGAAGTTCAATAACTGGAATACCCGTGTGTGCGCGCGCGCAAGTCGCAGATCTTGTGGAACTGACCAATTGCAGAGTCAAATCAGCCAAGCGGCCAACGTGATTGATCAGTTCTACGAGACCTGCGATTTGCCTTTAATGTGGAACGCAGCTTTTGACACTTTTGTAGATATAGCGCTAAAACCAGCGGCTGAAACCGTCGTAAAAAACTGGTAAAAAACTACGATAGGATGGCTGCTCTTAGGGTTGCTTTCTAGCAAGAGGATCGATTCTGTATCCATGCAATGTAGTAAAAATTACAAAAGCGAGTTAATTTATTAGGTGTTGACCAATAAGATCATAGATATTTTAGTGAATTCGTTCACTTTTGTAATTTTCACTACACTGCGTGATACAGAGGGTGCTTTAAACTACGTACAGGCGATACCAGGGTTGGGTTATTCGAGCATTATCTATAGTTTTTTACATTTTACAGTTTTTTACGGTAAAATACGTAAAAAACGTATAAAATACGTATAAAACGTATAATATTTATCGAAGTACACTATTATGTTTGTAGAAATGCAAATTACATTTGTCAACAAAGTTTTTAAGCTTGTTGATTGGCCTAGAATAGAAAAGTACTAGAAATTCAAAAATTTCTCTATCCTGTAAGGGCCATTACACATAAAATTCCTTGATAATTTGGATGACAAAAGTTTTCTGCCAATGCAATTGGAGTGATTATTTTATTATTACTAGCCTTAATTCGATAAGTGAGGTTGTTGTTTAATGTTTCTAAAGTCAACCAATCTTCAACAATATCTGCAAATGTTGTACGTGAATTTTCACATTTCTCTATAATTGAACGTATTGATCCATACAAGTCCAAAGAATCGTGTAATTCTTGCTCGAATGTTTTGTCGAAAAGTATACTGACAACAGTTCTTTTCAATTTATATACGTTTTCGCCGACAATTTGTCTCATAGCTGCTAAATTTTTTTTACAAGATTTATACATATCATGCAAATTATCACAAGAGGTAGTATTCGATAATATAATTGTTGCTGTATCACGTTTCAATAAATCTTCTTTCAAATCTAAGAATTCAACAAGCAGATAACGAACTTTATCTACAAAATTTTCATTTAATAATACTTTTTCTAATGATAATGGAAAGAATAAGTTGCAATTTAAAAACCACAAATTATTTTGTTCACTAGTTTTTAGTGTATGATAATCTTGATCTGTGATTACAGAATAAATCATGACAGAGTATTTAGTTTTAATTATATGTAGTGCTTCATTAAGTATTTCTTCTAAATTGCACAAGATATCCCATGACTTTAAATAAAAGGTCTTTCCTTGGATAACTTTAACAAAAGTTACAATTTGCTTGCAGTTTTGAAATGATGTTTCTTTAACCATCAAAATTCTATCACAATTGACTAACGTAGTCAATAAAATTGCTGTTTTCCGCTTAAAAACTGCAAGTTGATTGGCTATACATTTTTTGAACCAAAATCTCGGACCGATTTCTAACAACATGGATCATGGATGTTGGACTTAAAAATTTACTATACACATGATGTAGAGATGGCGCCACACGAAGTATAATATGTATAAAACTAAGCGATGTATTATACTGTACAATACCAAGTATAATACAATGTAAAATACCTCACGTATAATACGTGCCCAACCCTGGGTGATACTGTGTAACACTACAGTCCCTGTAGTAAAAGGCGAAAGATTTATTCGTGTGTTGAAGGGAAACCAGAGTGAGTCCCTGTAGTAGGTTTGGTTTGGTGCAAAATTGGCTCAGTGGACCGAATTAAGTTAGTCCATACGCCATTCTAGGAAGCCATTCCAGGGACTTCTGACTGATATTAGGTTTGGAGCACCTTTGCTGAGCAGTCTTTTCCGTATAAGGAAAGATAAACTGAAGGCGAGTGGTCATGTCCAGTGTGAGGATACTTGTCTTGTGCATGGTAAGAGAAAGGGGAAGGAGTAAAAGCAGGAGTGATAAAAGCAAGAGTTTGGTAAAGCTTAAAGGGATATTTGCGCGCGTGTTACGAAACATAACATGGCGTGCATAGCGCGAATATTGTCTGAGAAAGCTATACTAGCCACTTTGTAGGGCGGGCTGAAGCCACTATGGAAAAGATCTATCAAAAGTTGATCAGATAAGTCTTTGTACATTGGGCAGTTGAAAAAAATATGATCAAGATCCTGGTTTGCGTGACCGCACGGGCAGCCGAGTCGACAATGTTTTTGTTAGCTAGATGCGAACGTGCGCTAGTATGAAATGACCGAATGCGAGATATCAAGGAGATCAAAGATCTAGGGAGGGGTTTTTTGGTACCCTCATACCACGGTTTTCCCAAAACCTTTCCTTTGAGCCGAAAATATCGGAGGCCTTTATACCGGGCCTCAGTTGTAAGAAACGAAGTGGACTCTTCAACCGCCATAGCTCGAAAACTAGGAAAAACTGATCTGGCGGAGCAAGTTTCTGAAGAGTTTGGTTCCGGCATATCTAGAGTCTTTTTAGCGTACTGGTCCGCCATTTCGTTCTCCCGGATGTTCTTATGAGCAGGAACCCGCATAAGATACTTGCGCCTACTCCGGAGAGGACGTTCATTGATAACATCCAAGAGTACATTGGTGGGTGTGGTACGCATGAAGCCACAAACTACACGGGAACATGCATACTGAAGTCTATCAAGGACAAGAGCCTCTCGATCCCCAAGAGGAGACGTTACCTGAGACCCCCAGTCTCAACACCGACCTCACCAGGCCCTTGTAGGCAGTAGAAAGAACACTCGGATAAGCACCCCATTTAATTTCAGCAATAGCTTTGAGAACACTTATTCTTGGAAGAACTCTTTTACGAATTTCAGAAACGTGAGTTTTCCACTTGAGAGCATAATCAAAAAACACGCCCAAAAATTTGACTTTCCAGGCTATTTGTACAGTTTTATTGTTCAAAGAAAACTTAATGTTTTCCTTACGGATTTGCCACTTCATATTTCTTAAAGTATTAAGAGAGTAAAAAGTGGCGACTGACTTTTCTGGAGATNCTGACTACGACTACGTTTACACGCACTGATAAAACCGTTTTAATAACAACCGTTTTCACGAAACTAACCAATCATACACTTTTCTTACACTCTGGCGTTTTTCTTGAAAAGCATACACTTTACACGATGTTTCCCCCACTTTCAAAAAGTGTAGTGTATTAAAAGTGTAAGGTGTACACTTTACACTTTTCGTGTATGCAAGAAAAACAAACCTAAACTGTGAAGGCGAGTGGTCATGTCCAGTGTGAGGATATTTGTCTTGTGCATGGTAAGAGAAAGGGGAAGGAGTAAAAGCAGGAGTGATAAAAGCAAGAGTTTGGTAAAGCTTAAAAGGATATTTGCGCGCGTGTTACGAAACATAACATGGCGTGCATAGCGCGAATATTGTCTGAGAAAGCTATATTAGCCACCTTGTAGGGCGGACTGAAGCCACTATGGAAAAGATCTATCAAAAGTTGATCAGATGAGTCTTTATACATTGGGCAGTTGAAAAAGATATGATCAAGATCCTGGTTTGCGTGACCGCACGGGCACTCAGCCGAGTCGACAATGTTTTTGTTAGCTAGATGCGAACGTGCGCTGGTATGAAATGACCGAATGCGGGATATCAAGGAGATCAATGATCTAGGGAGGGGTTTTTTGGTACCCTCATACCACGGTTTTCCCAAAAACTTCCTTTTGAGCCGAAAATATCGGAGGCCTTTATACCGGGCCTCAGTTGTAAGAAACGCAGTGGACTCTTCAACCGCCATAGCTTGAAAGCTAGGAAAAACTGACCTGGCGGAGCAAGTTTCTGAAGAGTTTGGTTCCGGCATATCTAGAGCCTTTTTAGCGTACTGGTCCGCCATTTCGTTCCCCCGGATGCCCTTATGAGCAGGAACCCAAAGGAACTCAACCCGAGCTTTTCGCGCAAGCAATTCTAAGGTAAGCGTCTTTATTTTATAGATATCTGTAGGATGACTGCCATGCGGGTCAAAGGAGTCGAGGCACCTAAGGACACTTAACGAGTCCGTGGCTATATACGATTGACCGAACTCAAAGTCACTAATGTACTCCAACGCGCAGAGTACGCCCTTGGCCTCAACATCAAAAACCGAAGAATGATTATTGATTCGGGAATAGTGTGTCATACCCGGGTATTCGGACACCACTGAGTACCCTACCCTTGCAGGAGAATTTCCAGAAGGGGGTACGCAAGAACCATCAGTATAAAACACATACGTGGCACGTTTTTCGACAAGAAACGAGGCGAAGGCCTGTTGTGGAGAAGTAGCAGTTCTGAAGGTCAAACCCGACTCGGTGTCCACTGGACACTTGAAGTAACGTACATTGAACGGGAACGCAAGTAACCCCGGCAAAGGTCTCGGTTCAATCTGTCGGATCAACGGAGCAAGGTGTATAAAGACGTCAAACAGATCAAATCGATTATCATCACATATTGGTTCCCAGTTAGACAGGGATTGAGATAGCATGAGATTAAGAGGGTGGTCAGTTCGTGAAGCCACGCGGTATGCGTACTTTCGCATAAGATACTTGCGTTTACACCGGAGAGGATGTTCATTGATAACATCCAAGAGTACATTGGTGGGTGTGGTACGCATGAAGCCACAAATTACACGGGAACATGCATACTGAAGTCTATCAAGGACAAGAGCCTCTCGATCCCCAAGAGGAGACGTTATCTGAGACCCCCACTCCAACACCGACCTCACCAGACCCTTGTAGGCAGTAGAAAGAACACTCGGATGAGCACCCCATTTAATTCCAACAATAGCTTTGAGAACACTTATTCTTGGAAGAACTCTTTTACGAATTTCAGAAACGTGAGTTTTCCACTTGAGAGCATAATCGAGAAACACGCCCAAAAATTTGACTTTCCAGGCTATTTGTACAGTTTTATTGTTCAAAGAAAACTTAACGTTTTCTTTACGGATTTGCCACTTCATATTTCTTAAAGTATTAAGAGGGTAAAAGGTGGCGACTGACTTTTCTGGAGATAGTCTAAGTCCCAGATCAGATAAATGTGCGCTTAGGTTTTTTAGCGCAATATTGAGTTGATGGGCTACATACCTAACTGAAGAATGTGAACAATAAATGACGATATCGTCCGCATACATGATTATCTTCACTGGTAGAGGTAGGCACATTTCAACGAACGACAT